CCCCCAAAACCCCAAAACCCCTCATAATGAAGAGTGCCAATAATAAGCGAATGATTATGTTAAATTAAATAGTTTTAATTTGCTAATTAGTATTGCTAATTAATTTCAGCCCCACATATATTTGCATATACATTTAATCATTAATTTATAAATGAATTAACTTAGGAAGCTAGCTTTAAGAACAAAAACTTAAGCGAAGGTAATCTATCCTTTGATCAGTGCTAAGACTCTCAGACCTATAGCATCTATGTGGCAATTGAATCAAATGAACTTCTCAAATGCCAAGATGAAGCCTTATTTTAAAAAGTAGAAGGATTCTGAGGAAGAAGAAGATTTCTCAGAAGGTTCTGCATTATCTAGCAAAGAAGATGAGTAGGACTACTAATTGAACAGAGAAATAGCACTTGAGGAGGCCAAGAAAATAGCTCATCTCAACTAATCAAAATAAGAAGAGCAAGACAACAAGCATATTATAAAGGTGCCTGAACTGCATACAAATGCTTATAAGCTTGGCTAGCTGTTTGGAATAGATTCTTATGAGGTATTAAAGAAGATCGAGAAAATTAGCAAAGAGTCTATTATTGATGAATTCCAAGACCTATCTAGATAGCTTATTGAAAGATTAGCAGTTGAGTATGAGAAAGAGATAGAGATTGAGGAGAATAGCGAAGAGAAGCTAAGGTTTTAAGTGAGATCACCTGTAGTTACGATTATGGGTCATGTCGATCACGGAAAGACTACATTGCTTGATGCCTTTAGACATTCCACAAAAGTCAAGGAAGAATACGGCGATATCACATAGAGTATTGGTGCTTTTACATTCATCACAGACAGCCAGCATGAAATTACATTTATTGATACTCCAGGGCATGAGGCTTTTTAGAATCTTAGAGTGCGTGGTGCTAAAGTAACTGATCTTATTATTCTAGTGATTTCAGCCATTGAGTCAGTGTAACCCTAAACTATTGAAGTCATTTAGCTTGCATTGAGTTTGAAGATACCTGTAATAGTAGCAATCAATAAGATTGACAGAACAGCAGCAGATCCAGATAGTGTCATACTTGACTTGGCAAACCATGGTATGATTGGAGAGGAACTAGGAGGTGAAGTTATTTGTGTTCCAATATCTGCTAAAATGAAGACTAACCTTGATATTCTAGAGCAGAAAATCATCGAGGTGGCAGAAGCAAAAGTCAACCTGCTTGAGGATTTTCATTCAAAGGCATAATGCTTAGTTATTGAGTCTAACTTCGATGAGAAGTCTACTTAGATCACAGCAACTGTCTTAGTTAAAAAGGGTTAACTTAGATAAGATGATGTGTTTGTCTGTGGGCCTCATGAAGGCAAAGTGAGATTTATGAGAAATGATCAAGGCAAAAACATTAAGATTGCCTATCCAGGTTAAGCTGTGCATTTAGCTGGCTTCAAAGCATTCCCTGAGGTTGGACAGCCATTGTATGCCTGCAAATCACATGAGGAAGCTTAGTTTATGGCTGTAAGAATCTAATAAAGAAGGGAAAAAGAGTTAAATCAGTTGAAACTTGATAGCTAGTTGTAGCATGAAAGTATGGACATGAAAAAGAAGTTGAAGGGACTCACAAGAATGGAGAAACGAAAAATGTACGGAGGAGACAAATCCATTATGTATGAGAAAATAGGCTTGCTTGAGGAAAGCGATATTGAAAAGTATAGAAAGAAACTTGGTATTAAAAAGGGAGTAGATCTTCTGAGTAAGGAACTTAGTGATGTGGAGGACATAGTAGAATAAGCTTCCTAGACCTAGAGTTTAGATGCAGAAGGGAAAAAGAAGAAGATTAAAGTAAGGTCATAAAGAATTAAGGATTTCGAAAAGGAGGAGTTCAAGAAAATCCTTACAAACTACAAAGAAGAGTAGAAAAAACGTGATCAAATGACTACTGATGAATAAGCAAAATATGACTAAGAAAGAATGAAATTGAAGGAAGTTTATCGTGGAGAAGATGTCTAGCATTTCCCTATTATCATAAAAGCTTCTCAGGCGGGGGTACTAGAGACTCTACTAAAAGAAACAGAGAAAGTCCTGGGCATTGGCAATTACCGTATCAGTGTGATTGACTACTCGGTTGGACCTATTACTGAAGGTGATATGAATAACGCTATGCAAACTGGAGCAGTAATATTGGGGTTTGACGTGCCCTGCTCGCCAATGGTTTAGAGAACTGCAGAAAGTTCTGGTGTCGTAATCAAGCAGCATAGAATTATTTACAAGTTTTTGGAAGATGTCGAGCACTTTGTATATGATGCTAATACTAAGATAATGGAAGAGTCAGGAAAGGCTGTTCATGTTGAGGTAGTAGGTACAGCAACAGTGTCTCAGATATTCAAGATTAAAGACCCCAAATCCAAGAATAACAAAATGCTGCACATTGGGGGTTGCAAGGTAGCAGGAGGGGATATAGAGAGAAAGCACAAGTACAGAGTCATCAGAAACGGCAGATGTCTCTAGGACAATCTAAAACTGCACAGTATGAAAAAGATTTAGTAGGATGTGACTGTAGTGGAGAAAGGCCATGAGTGCGGTCTCTGCTTTGAGAACTTTGACGGAGAGTTGATTCCAGGAGACCAGATTGAAGCATATAGAGAACTAGAGGGAAATGTGGTCAAATTCAACTCAAAGCCTGGTGTTCATTAGTCATATTGAGAGAGCGAGGCATTGGTGAGTTTTAACTATAAATATAAATTTACGAGCTGCTCATCAAACTCTGCTCAAGATTAAAGAATCTGTCTATTCATTTGAATTTTGTGAAGAGATGGGATATTTAATAATTTAAAGTTAATTTAGAATAAATTAAATTCAGAACTTGCTTTGTTTCTTAATGTAATTTCAATAACTTATTTGTTATTCGTTTCCTAATATTTTTCACAGTCTTTTTTTAGTTATATACATATTAAAGTATATGTTTGATTTCTATGATGGGTTCATATCATTTGAATAAGTAGACTTTGCATTTGGAGAGAATGGTTATCCAAAGTAAGATGGATTAGGCATCCCGTTCCCATTGTTGCTGTGAATATTATACTAAGAAGAGAGGACTTTTTGCCTTGAGGTCTAGAATTTATTGCTTTCTATATCCTATAATTTTCCCTGTGTATTCATGAAATGAAGTTGTTAATGCAGTAGATTGTTATCAGTCATTTGCATGTCATGCTTTTCCTTTAGCCGTTTTTCTAGTAATTTTAGTAAACTATTCTAACTTTGCTGTAAATGAGCTTGAATATCCTCAATAGTCAAACTATTCTTTTTACCTTTCATAGCCTTTACAGTTCTGATCTGTATTTGAGACTTCTATCTTCGGTTGAGGCGTTTACTATCTGAACTTAAAGGCACCTGGTCCTCTTTGCCTTAACTCATCTTATTAATGTTAAACTGAGGGGAACTAGAGTTGTGCATTAGCAATTTACTCTTTTCTCCTGATGTAACTCTACCAATTTTTTGCACATCCAAAGTTCTCAATTGCTTTTGCTGCTAAGAATCGTTAAGATTAATGGACTGATGAGTCTAATTTTCAATGTTAGGATAGTTATCGATTTGTGACTGATTCATTGATATAGTATAAGTGCCGTTTGGCTGGTTTTAGTTAGTGCTATCAGTTACTATTTACTTCAATACCTCCTGCTTTCTAGTTCTTTACTTTGCTAGATTATTTATGGTAGCAATTCCGGTTTAAGGTGGTTAGTTATTAACTGACGTGAGTCCCTGAATCTGGTTACTATTACTCATTAAACTCTCTTCTATAATGATGTTTCCCATTATTTTGTTGTTATTTGTTCGCTAAGTATTCTACTAGGGCTTTTATTAATCAGGTAGAGTAGGCTATGCATTTATTTATTCGTTAATTGGATTCATTAAGTTTACATTACTTAAATTCTTTTTGAGAGAAATTTTGAACTCTGGAAATCTTCCATCTTCTCCTCCTTGCTTGTCAAATTCAGACTATAGCTTATTGAATCCTAATGCTTAGGGAGAATTCAAAGATCTAAAACTTGGATTTTTAATAAGCTGATTACCAGCTTTATTGTTTTAAGTCATTTTTAGTTAGTTTTCCTTGATTGATGAAAAAGTTGTGCTCTAATTATAATAAATAGTGCCGTGTTTTTACGAGGCTGAAGTCTTCAGCACCTTGGGAGATATTTATACATTATTCTTTTTACTCTCTAAATCTATAGTTGAAGAAGCATGCTAAAGTATAAACTGCTATTAATCATCTTAACTAAGTATTTTATTAGTTGGCGAGGGACTTTAATGTCTCGTTTAAGGTTTTTACTTGCCATTATTAGATTAAAACTGATTCGTATTGAAAACAAACTGGTTATAAAGCTTAGACATCTTGAGGAAGTATTCCTTGTTACTATATCTATTAGGATCATAGTCATTAAGCAATTCCTCCTCTTCCATTACCTAAGTTGAAGTCACTCTTTCGATTTTAATCTAGGGTCGCTTTAACAGCTTATGTCTGAGAAGCAAGTTACAAAGCTCCTCATTCTAGACAGAGTCCACTACATTTTTGCACTCTTTTAGTGTGTCTTGACTCAATGTTTCTCTAGACATGTACCTCTCTTTTTGCTAAAGCCATTTCATATTTTCTCTATTCGCCTGATTTTATAGAATATTAAGTCTCTGTGAAAAGAATGGCTCCTTAATACGCTGTGACTCATTTACTACATGCTTCTATATTTGTTTGTAAAATCTAGTAAAGTATTCCTATAACATTGTTTTAATTATAATTATTGTACCTCTCTAGATAACTAATAAACTATTGCTTTTTCTGTAATACATTGCACTTTGTTTTATCTATAGGTGGTCTTTTCCTTATTAAGATCATCAAGGCCTATTATTTGGTTTGGTCCAATAATGGAGACCTTAACCTCTATATTCTTTAATAAAGTTGTTTGGCCTTTTTGCACTGTAACTTTATCCAATTTCGTCTTAACATTTTTAGTTATCTAATTACACCATAAATTAGACAGTATCTTACCTCGAATTCCCCCTCTTTGATGAAATATACTACATCTGCAACATCTCCCTCCTTAAACACTATGTCTCTTCTTCTAAACTGTTTTTCCTTCAAATAATAACTTAATTTGTTAAGATTAGTGCGTGATATACCCTCAGATATCCTGAAATTCTTAAAGAACTCTACCTTAGCATCTAGCTTTTTCTACATACTATAGAGGAAGACCTTGGTAAAATCATCTCTTTCTAATACAGCAAGATAAGATTCAGTTTTGCTAATGACGGTAGCAGCTCTTTTCTCTGGCTTTTTACTGCTTGAATTCATCAAGGCAAGCTCTCCAAACCCTAGTCCTGAATTCAAAGTCAGCGATGTTGTAAGAAATTAGAACTCATAAGGAGCTTATATCTCTCTATCTTGGGACAACATTAAAGTCTAAAATGATCTCTTCATCATTCCTCTCATAGTTCCTCCTACAGAGGACATTTAAGATTTAAGTAGGTTGGACGAAGAATTCGATGCTCTGTTCTGGTCATGATATTGCTCAAGCAGGTGCTTGTTATGTCTGTCCCAGATTATTAACTCTTGGTTTAAATCAATATATTCATGTAACTCGCTCTGACTCAGCTGAACCTCAACAGTTTTTGGAGTAAGAATATCTACTTCTCCTTTGATAATGATATAGAACTCATTTCCATCTTCCCCGTACTGAATGATCTTTTAATCAGTGGCATATTTCCTGCATTTAAGTTCTCTACAGCACTAGTAGATAATATCCTCGTCAACTTCGCTTTCCTTTTTTAGTGATTCGAAAAAACTCAAGCCCTAGAAAAAATAAATCAATTTCTTAATCTCTTCTCTATTCCTCCAGTCACTTTTCTTTTACAAAATCACTATTATTTCCTATAATAAAATTACGTTAATAAACATTTTATGATGAAGTGGTATGCTGGAATATCGATACTCAAGTAATTATATTTCAATCTGTAATAAGTTAGTGCCAAACTTACCTCGAATGTGGGCTTTTCTTGTATATCTTTATTGAGTAGCTTTTCGAAAGTAGTATTGCTCTAAAGCATCTGAAACGAAGAGGGTTTCTAAGTAATCTATCTGGGTGAAGTGGGGATTTCAGTGCTCTTAACTTGCTCTAACTTGGGCCTGTCATCAGTATTATCACTCATTTTTCAACTAATTATATTTATATAATCCTACTCCCATAGAAAGATTGTTTTAATAAATTTTAGCTTTTTCAGATCGAAGGGGGTTTTGGGGTTTTGGGGTTTTGGGG